TTTTTTAAACAGTTTGGTGATTTGACATGTGTACTTAAGCTTAAATTATACTGTGTTTTAAATTTACATATTTAAGTACATTAAAAGTCACAGGTAAACTATGTTACTAACCATCTTCCAGTCTGATTTGCAATCTGTTCTTCCAATTTCTGTAGCTCTGATGTATAGGCCATTATTCGAGCATTGCACACCATGAGATTCTTAACTGCATGTAAAACCTGATCTTTCTGAGTGCTCAGAGAAAGGAGTTTCCATATTCCTTCTCGCATTCGAATTTCTAAGTCTATTTTTTCTTGAATGCTGCAGTCCTAAAAAAAAAAAAAAAATGCATCTTTAAAATATAGCAAAAATCCAAAATTACATTTTAACCCATAATAGATGCAAAATGTACTAGATATCATAATTGTATACCATATTGAGAAAGCAACAAAGTTTTAATATAAATATATGTAGTGTAAAAATAGCTATTTTAAAGTGCTCTTTGCAATTCTTAACTTCTTGCTTCATTAGGAAATCTTTACAATCTAAAGAAACTGAATAAACAGAACATAAACAAAGGTGACAAACATTATGTGTTCCTATAACTATATGAAGTTTAATAGTGTCTCTCCAAACTTTATGTCCACCCAGTGCCTCAGAATGTAGCCTTATTTGGACAGAGGGTTTTGCGGATGTAATTAGGTAAGATGAGGACATACTGGATTAGAATAAGTCCTAAATCTAATGACTAGTGTCCTTAAAGAAAGGTTGCATGAAGACACAGTCACATACAGAGAGAATGACATATGAAGACAGAGACTAATACGTCTATAAGTCAAAAAAATACCAAGGATTGATGGCAGTAATCAGAAGCTGGGAAAGGCAAGAAGAGAATTCTTTCCTACGGCCTTCAGAGGAGCGTGACCCCGCCAATTCCTCGATTTCAGACATCTGGCCTCCATAAGTTTGAGAATAAATTTTTCTTGTTTTCAGTCACTTAGTCTTGGTCATTTGTTATAGCAGCCTTAGAAAACATACAATAACTAACGTGAACAATATATCACACATATATATTATATAAATTGTATTAAGAGATGGCAATGTGGTTGATGACAGTGAATTAACCATGACAAACATTCTGAAAAAGCAGATACTGAGTAAAGGAGCCAACATTTAGTAGCAGGGAGGAAACAGGCTATTTGTAATAGTAGGCAGTGTAAACACAATCTCAGAAGCAAGAGAGCGAAAGCATTGTACATAGAAAATGTCAGAAGCCTTAGCTATCCGGAACAGAGCTTTATAATATAATTCTGGACATACCATTTATTTTAGTTTTAGGGTTCACCATGAAACTACTAAATAGTTTATTTCTGAAAGTCTTTTATTCCATATAATTATCTTTTAATGGCCTGATTCTACATACAAGTTTCACATGCAACATTAAAATTCTACACACTGAATGTACAGTTCTGATTTAATTCACAATGACTTTATAAAAATTATAAATCAAAGGTACTCTTTATTGTATCACAAACATGTAATGATGTTTCTAGTATGTCTATTTCTTAAAGATAAAGTGATCACCCTAGTTTCTATGGTAAACAAAATAAAGACTATAATTTACCTTCTGATTGGATCAAAATGTAAATTTAAAAATGTAAATGAAATCTAGTAACAAAACATCTAGACAACCTTTTCAAAAGGAAAAGATGAAAGTTAGGAGAGCTAACAGTCTTTGAAGACTACCCCAAAAGACAAACTGCAGATGATTTAACTTGACTATCCAAATCAATCAACTGTACTATTTACACACAGAAAACAGATCTGTTTAATTACCTCCTGTAATTACATCATGTAATCACCACATAAAAACCTTCTCATATAGTGTTGTAACTCAAAACTGGTGTACTATATAAATGTAGTCATTCGCTGGTTTTCCTTCGCTGCACACGACTGAATTTCAACAACTCCATTTCATCTTTTTATAAGTTAACCAGCCCCAAAGTAAATTCTTCTTTAATGTAATTAGCAAATAATTATAAGAATTATCTATGTGACCCATATGTCTATAGAAATAAACTCTGGCAGACTGACTATATTGGGGAGTGCACATAGGGAGCAACCTAAAGCTGGGATGAATAGTTTTACCCCACAACTCAAATATAAACAAATACCATCTGGTGCCACTAAATTCTATTTTGGTTTTAAATGCTGCAATGAGATAGGCAGTTGAACTAGCACAGTGGTTCTCAAAGCTGGCTGCATATTCAAACCATCTGAGGCAGAGAGGAAGGGCCTTATAAAAGTACCTAAACCTGTGACCTACCCCAGACCAAGCAGGATCTCTGGAGGTGGGGCTTGAGCCCTTTTTTTTTTTTTTTTTTTTACAGTTCTTCTGGTGATTCAATGGTCAGCCAGGGTAGAGAAGCACAGCTGGACTATTTGAAATTCCACAGCAATCTTAAAAGTTGCAGCAACCTTAAAGAACCAGCAGGTGGCTACAGCCACATTAACGAATCAGTTTGGGTTTCTGTCCCGTAAATAAAGAGTATCTTCTCACCATCACTTACAATGAAGTCTCCATAAAACTACAGAAGCTTGGGAAATAGTAGAGAAAGAAAATGTAGCCAGGATTTTTTTAAAAAGTACATTTAAAAAGTTTGAAGATGATGTAAGATTAAAGTACTATTTATTAAGGAAATGAGGCGTATCTAACAGATACTACTGTGAAGATTTTTTTTCTTTAGAGCAAGGGTCAGAAAACTATGGCCTGGCTGGGACCTGATTTTGTAAATAAAGTTATACTGGAGCACAGACACATTCATTCGTATTGTCTATGGCTCCTTTAAGCTACAAGGGCAGAGTTGAGTGACTTCAACAGAGACTGAGTGGCCTGCGAAGCTGAAAATATTTACTGTTTGCCCTTTATAGAAATAGTTTACTGACCCATAATCTAGCCAAATTAACATACATAGTAAACTATAATCTTACCTCCCTCGCTGAGGCAGGTCTCAGGCAAATGTGAGTTAAGTGGATCCCAGAAGGCTAACATAAGCAGGATGAGTTGTTAAGTGTACATATGGTTTTCAATGTATTCTGAGTTTGTTTTTTTTTTTTTTTTTTAAGGCTACTGGTTTTAGCCAGTTTTGTATTTCCCATGCAACTTCTTTTAGTACACATCTATACTTTACATGCAGAAAAAGCCTCTCTGGTTAAGCAATGCTAGCTCTAGCAAGGAAGGGTTTATGGAACTGAAACCCTTTAGAGCTGTCTTTAGTTACTAAGGGTACACAGTGCATCTGGGGTAAGGGTTGATGTCTAGTGCTATCCCCAATAAGAATAATGATCATGTAATAAGGGCACCGATTGGGCATTCAATAGTGACGTTTATTGACCTCAAAGAGGATGAGTACGGAGTGGAAAATCACCAGTGTTGCTCCCTCAGCCATAATGGCTCGGCCAGGTAGAGTCAAGGCTGATTAGGACCAAAGACAAAAGCTAGTCTCTCTGTAATCATTCCTTTTAGGAGTGTTTGAATGCCAGTCTCCAGAAAGAGGAGAGAATGAGGTAAGGCCATCATCCTCTTATTTCTTTTCCAATTTTCTGAATAAGGGCTTGCCTCTAATCAAGTCAAACAGAAGCCTTTGTCACTGTTCTGACCCCGTAAGTACTTTAACAAGTTAGGCTGATAAAAATATATGGACAAGGCTATGAATGAAATAGGAAGATACCTTAAAAACGGAAATTTAGATTAAGTAGGAAACAGAAACCTACTAGGTTTTAAGAGCTAGCCTAGTATGAAGGAAGTGCAAAGAAAATGGCTTTATTGTTGGTATTAAAAACTGACTTAAAAAAACCTGAAGTTGAACTCCTGGAAAGACAACTGCAGTAATCAAGATATAAACTACCATTCACCTAATGGATATAGTTAAGCCATGCTAACCAAAAGACCAAGGTGAAGAAGAAGAAAAGAGTAAATACAGTCCATTCTCATTTTGCTAAAAGAAATTGTGTGGATTTTAAGAATTGTTTATGTACAGAAAAAAGTCTGGAAATTGTTAACAGCGGCCATTCTGGGGAATGGAACTAGAGAGAGAATTCGTAAATTCATGTTTCTATGTTGACTTTGCTGCAATGAGATAGTATTACTTTTTGAATTTTATTTTTATTAAAATTCCAAAAGCTTAAACATTTGTAAGAAAAGGTAGGGGACTGCCGGAACCACTCAGCTGAATAGGACAAAGGATAATAACAACAATAGTCATCTCTCAAGCACATCCTGAGTGCTAGGTGCTGTGATAAGTACTTTAGAGATGTTCTTGAATTCCAACAGCTGTCTAGGATAGGCAGAATACCCAATCTACAACTGTGGAAACTGAAACTTAGAAAACAGAGATAACTTATTTAAGGTTGCACAACAAGAAGAGTTTGGTTTGACCTGAATCTGACTACAAAGCCAATACTCTATGCTGTGAGGAGTCGCAGAGGACTCCAGGGTTTCAGTAGAGGTGTTTGACTAGGGTGTGGCCACCTCAAAATCTTTGGCCTTATCTCGATAACATGGCAGCTTCATTCATGTATCAAAGGAAATGCCAAATAAAAATTCAGTATTAGTCAAGTATAAAATTATCTGACTGACCCTCAATATTCCTGTTAGGTTGAAACCTACTACTATTTTGTGTTTTTTCTCCAAATCTAAACTGAAGATTCTGCATTTCAATCATTTCGATTTTGTCCTGCCTAAAAAATTAAGTATTGTACCTTCCCACATGTAAATAACCAAGCCTTTATATGTATTTAAACATTATTTTCATTCCTTGCAGCTAAACTTCCTTCATGATTTTATCCTCTTGTCGCTTCTGTACCATTCCTATTCCTGCAGCCTGAAGCTCAATAAATACACCTGGACAGCTACACCTACACCTACACCTATATGATACATACAAGAATCTCAATAGAATGCCAATTCACTATAAATTAAGATTTTGTTAGGCGGACAGCCAAAGTATATAACAGGACAGGATCGAAAAAAAGTACATCAAAATCTTTGAAATTTTTGAAAATGCTGACATAAAACAGCATAAAAATTACTGATAAAGACACTGGACTTCCTTTGCATAATGAATCTTAATGTCTTGCTTTATTTTTCACAGTATTATTGAAAACTTCCTAACAATTTTGTGTCTGCTAAGGAAATTCTAGATTTTTAAACAAAGATTATCAGGTGCCTCCATATGAATGAAATTGCAAATATTTTACCAATTTTGACCTACAAAACTGGCACTTTCATATGGCTTAACCTACTTCTGAAGTAGGCAAAAGAAGGTAGAGATTAAAATAGAAGTGAAGATCCAGCTTAAAGACATCAGAGTTTTCTTTTAAGACCCTAAAGTTACGGTTAAGAGTGAAAAGTGGTAACATTTTAATAACTGATGCTGCCAAGAAATAATGTTGGTCTAGTAAAAAGCAAAATAAAAAGGTTTCTAACACAATTTACATAGCACAAAAGCAAACATCAAACTTCTATCCAATTTAATGTGTCCTCTCTTTTTCCTTTCTAATGATTTGAGAAAGAACCCACTATCAAACCTTCAACTTTCTCTAAAGTGCAGAGGTTGCAGTTTGCCTCTACTCCACTCCGAACCCCACCCCCCACCCCAACCAGTTCTGTGTTGTGTGTAGACATAGACATCGCTCCATTACTGTGCTTCCCATTAAATCTGTAATAAGCCAACTGTCTTCCACTGGCCTCGCTGGGTTTCTTGGGAATCAAGCGGCTCCCATTTCCCCGGCATCACCTACACTTGCAAAAAGACAGGCGTCCAAAGCCTGGGGAGGGCAGCAGACAAGTGCACCTCAAACGCGCGCTGGGACCCCGGCCCCGCCTTCCCACTCCGGACCTCAGCTCCCTCTCTGAGAAATCCGGCGGTGCCGATATCCAGGCCCTTTAGAGCCCCAAGAGTGCAGTCTCCTAGTCCCTCCCTTTGTTTGTGGCCACCGCTGAAACAGAGGAGCAGGGGAGAGGCTTTCCCGACGACTCCACAAAGCGAAGGCGCGAGAAACAGAACCCCGGCTCCCTCTCCTTCCGCGGCAGGGTCCCTCCCGCAACTCACCTGCTGGGTGGGAAGCCCCGCCAGACCGAGCGCAGGACCCCTCAGACTCGGCCCCTCCATCTCCAGCGCGAACTGTCCGGGCCGTCGCCACTCTTTCAAAGGAAGATTTGAAAAGCCCGCCCCTGGCTGGAGCCGCGGAGGACGCCAACCGCCCGGCTGTACCAAGTCCCAGTCGCAGGGGCCGGGGGGCGCAGGAGAAGCCCGGCAGACGCGCACGCGCAGTGGGCACGCCTCGCGCCCCGCCGCTCCCGCCGCCGGAAGTTGCCGAGACCCCAGGCTCCAGCGCGGCGGGGCGGGGGAGAGGGCGGCGGCGCCGGACTTAAAGCCGCGACAGGGATGTGGGCGGGCTTGGAACGGGAGTGGGAGGGGCCGCGGGGAAAGATTTGGCGGCGAAGCGCACCTGTCGCAGCGCAGGTTTCTGGCTGGTGGTTTTCGTGGCACGCCCTTTGCACTGGGAGCCTTCTGCCCGCATCCCACCGAAGGCCTTACAAAGTGATCGTAGCTGGACAGAGTCGAGGCTGCCGTCCCTGTACTCCCAGACAACTCAGGAACCCACGGTGTCACTACGAGCCCACGGTCTCGCTCTCAGAGAACCAGTAACATTGCTCTCAAACACAGCGCTCGCTGTCTCCTCTCACCTTGCCCAGCGTTGTCACCAGGGTCACCCAGAGATAATGGTTTTATTCATCAGGTTCGTAAGATACTATGTCAGCCATTTCACAAGGTCTTGTCTTTGCCCCCAGTGTTTATAATCCCAGATGTTCCCCGCCCACTACTCTGTCCACTGACTCTGTTTTCTTGCGAAAGATTTCTTTCAGCTCTCTCACTCTCTCTTTCCCTCTCCCCTTGTTTCCCCACCAACATCCAAGGTGACAGCAAAATGGGGTACTATTTCTCAAGAGCCGTATTTCTTGCTGCCCTAAAGATGAGCACAAAGACCCATTTTAATTCATGGATTTTGTTAATTATAAAGGGAAACGTGGAATTTTTAAAAATCAAAATGAAAGCAGCAAAGATTTCACACCCTTGAAAAGTCCGTAAAATTCATTGTCCCTAGTTTGTCTTAATTTCCCCCTTGAAAAGGCAACAGGAAGCCTCTTTGGGCCTCAGACATTTTTTCTTCTTGAAGAGTCTACCAAATCAACCCTCCAGCCCTCATCGCCTAGAAACCCTTGGGCATTTTTCCTCCATAAATAGGTGCCCATGTTTTTTATTTGCCTGGGACAGACCCTGTCTGGGTCGGTTGTCCCAATGTTGCACCAATCTTGCACTTATCCCGAAGTGGATATTATATGGTCATTTTAACTGCAAGACCTTTTTAAAAGCAGTTGGTTTGAGAATGTATTTTAAAAATATAATGGATACCCTTTCTCAAATAGATAAAATGCCTCTTTAAGAACCTTTGGACTAGGTGATACTAGAAGCTTCCCAGTTGGGAATGATGGTCCCCTTGCATTATGAATGACTTCCTTACAACAATAAAAGATGTGTTCAAAATTACCAACACGGAGCTCACCTCATTTTCTACAACACAGGTCTGAATTTCAGAATCATTAAATGCCCCTTCCTCCAATGCACATCTCTCTCTTATGCTACCACTTTGTGGTGTAATTATCCCCTACTCAATGTGAGGCTGCATGAGCCTAGCTATAGCACCTGACTCAAAAGAAAAATACACCGAGAGCCCATATCAGACACGTAGTACTTACAACACATACAGCTCTCAGCTGCAGATCAAAATACATGTAGAAGCCAGCACTTCATAAAAACAGAGGTGAGTCAACCAGTTTAAAATTGGACATTGATATAGGAATATCTGATGAGTTAAAACCAGATATTTAACTAGAGATACATTTATTTATGATACTAGAAGAAAAGGTTAGGAAAGGCCACATTTAGTAATTATCTGTAGAATACAGTTGTTACAAAAGACCTTTCTCTTTGGAGAAGAAGTTGTGATGTGGTCCTGCTTTTATTATACACCGGGAGAGTCCCCAGGAAGTGCTTAAATACTTAATTATTATATGATGATTAAAATACCTTGGAGTAGGACTTCTGTTTCCTTATTTATCCTAAAGTCCTTTCTTGTTACTGCTAGTTTGATCAGACACGGTTTTCTCTCGTGTATGTAATGCACATAAAATATAATCACTCATGGAAACTACAAAAGTTTAAAGAGCTCACATGCAGTAGTTTGATTAGCTTGAGGATTTATCTTTCAATCTATCTATTTATTTTACAACTCCCAGAAAGTGAGAAGTACTACGTTTTACCATCTCAAATATTTGAGAGAACATTTGGGCATCTCTTAACCCATCATCCTTGGGCTCTTACAGAAGGTTGATATCCACCCAACTGCCCAGATGTAGTAGCTTCAGCTAGAGGATGAGTGACGGAATTACTGTCCTACCAATATTACTTCTCACTATAAGGTCAATACTTAATGCCAATTAAAAATATACATATATTGGTTACTCCTTATATAACAGATAGTATTATAATAAATTAAAAACTACAGAAGCCAATCTAGAGAATACTAATATATGCAAAGTACATTTTTCTTCTCTTATTCTCTGTATTCTTGTTTTAAACTAAGAGGCTAAAGGCAAAGAAAACACTGAACTTAAAATCAGCTCTGTTACATAACAGATCCATTATTTTGAAAAATGTGGTTTGACACAAAACAGGTAACTTGTGATTTTGAATATCCTCCTAGCCTCTCTTATATATAAAAAAAAGTCCTATTAAAAATTCTCTTGGTGCTTCCTTTTACTCATCTGTTCATCTTGTAGATAATGTGTTAAGGTTGAACTGAATAAATTAAAGCTATGTTTTGAATTATATATGGAAGAGACAGAGAGAGAGAAGGAACTGAGGTCAAGGTGCTAAGCAGAAGTGCAGCATTTTCTTAAATGAATGGTCTACGAATAGCTGAAGCATCACATAATCATAAGGAGGCTATGGAATGTGGAGTCTGAGGATTTATTAGCCCGATTACCTTGGGCAAGCCACTCGGTTTTCTTATTTGTAAAACAAGTATAATAATACCCATCTTGTTTTTTAAAGTTGTTGGGAGACTCAGATAAGATTTGTGGGAGTGCTTTGTAAACTGTCCCACAAACACACGAGCGGTTACTACTGTAGGAAGAAAACATGAGTACCGAAAGGCAACTGTAAAGGACCTATAGAACTATGAGAACTGAATGAGAAAAAATTATGTGAATTGGATATATTCAAGATATATCACCTACCACTGCTAAATAATATGCTATATATAAAGAACTCCTATAAATCAATAAAAATCCAACTGGAAAATGGTCAAAAGCTATGGCAGGCATATTATAGGAGAGTAAATCCAAATAACAAATAAAATATGAAAGGTTGCTCAACCTTATTATTAGTCTGTAAACTGCAGATTAAGGTCCCAAGGAGATATTTTACAGGCACTAGATTGAGAAATATTAAGAAATCTGATAATACTAGGGGTTGGCAAAGATGCAAGTCCAAGGGATATTATATACTGGAGGAGGAGATAGAAATATGTCCAATCACTTTGGAAAAACAAATTTAGAACTGTCTTGTAAAGTTGAAAATGTGTTTACCTAGCAATTCTGCTCCTTGGTATGTATCCTCTGGGAAATTCTTGCAAATTTATATAGGCAACATTGCTTATCATAGCAAAAGGATTTTAAAAATCCAAATGCTCATTTCAGGAGCATGGATTAATAAATTGTGGTGATTTACCCAGTAGAATGACATATATCTTTTTAAGAAACCATAATTATGTTTAATAACATACACATAACTAAATCTTAGAAATACTGAAGAAAACTCGTTGCAGAAGAGTACACAGAATATATAATCTTTGTAAACTTAAATAACAAGAGACTTTAAACAGTAAATTGTTTAAGGAAACAGGTGTGTGATAAAAGTTTATGCTTAACAGGAAAGGAATGCTAAAAACAAAATTCAGGCTAATGCCCAGCTTTGGAAGGAAGGCAGGAGAACAGGATAGTCACAGAGCCTGCAGATATAGAGCTCCTTACTGGTCATGTTTTAATTCTTAAGTTGCATGATGGGTTCACCAATATTAACTGTAATGTTTACCCGGTAACTTACATATATAACACATATTTAGTATCCATCAAACCTTTCATAATAAGAAATTTTTAATATGTAAAAAAGTCCTTGTAAATGTTAAACAATAGTGATAATGTGTGGTTTTTAAAAAAAACTAATAATACATATTATAATATTATAATACATATTTTAAAACTAATAATACATATTTTGGCTTACAGAATTTGACTTGACATTTGATGCATTACCTTGGTATTTTTATTATGTGACAGCATGGAAAACACAACTGTAAAGCATTGGTGCCTATAACCAGAAAAAAGATGCTGAAGAATTGGCTATGTAGATTTATTTTGAACACTTAAGAACCACTGCTTGGGAGTAGTAAGGGGTAGGAGTCTGGCGGAATTTGCAAGGGATGAGAGCTCTTGTCAGCAGATGGGGACAATATTAAGCGCAATTTAAGTTATTACTGCCAGTGTGACCTACATATTACACACAATCCTGAGGAAATTCAAGTTACATTATAATCAGAATGCTCTTTACTCACCAAGCAAATCACTCACAGGAATTAGTTGTATAATTTGAATCGGTGGTTCTCAAATTGGGGCACACAAAGACTTTGCAAGGCCTGGGTATTTGTAAAGGTCTGGCTGTTTAAAGGAACTCGTGGTTAAGATCTTCAACTTAGGTTCCCTCATTCTGAAATTGATGGGCCTAACAACTTACCTGCTGTCTAGGCCTCCCCTTGGTCACCCTTTCACAATCACCTTTTCCCTTTTGACAAAAGAAAGCCATCGCTTCCACCCATTGCATTGTCCTGGAGTATAAAAACCATATAGAGGTCAAAGAGACGTTAAAATTATTGATATTGGGCCAGGAGCAGTGGCTCAGGCCTGTAATCCTGCACTTTGGGAGGCTGAGAGGGTGGATCACCTGAGGTCAGGAGTTTGAGGCCAGCCTGGCCACCATAGTGAAGTCCCATCTCTACTAAAAATACAAAATAATGCCGGGCGCACTGGCGGGTGCCTATAATCCCACCTACTTGGGAGGCTGAGTCAGAAGAATCGCTTGAACCCGGGAGGTGGAGGTTGCAGTGAGCCAAGATCGCACCACTGCACTCCAGCCTGGGTGACAGAGTAAGACCCTGTCTCAAAAAAAGAAAAACAAATTATTGGTATTG